TGTTTAGTGTGCCCTGTGCACAGTTTCCCCTGTCACAGGGTCACCCACCTGCTTCCCACAAGACACTGCAGACTGGAAGCCCAGGAGATCCTGGCTCCTATGTAGGCTCACGGATGCAGGTAGATGACATGATGGCAGTACCAACTGTCACCCTGCCCCACCCGCAGTGCTCTAAGGCTGGCTTTGTGTGTATTGAAGAGGCATTGACATTCTTTGAACCTCTCCATTGAGAAAGAATCTGGCTTGTGCTCCAACCAAGGGGACCCTGATGTCATAGCGAGAGCGCCAGCTACAGCTGCCAGCAGGTGTGTTGAGTGTGTGCAGCAAAGAAGCGTCCCAGCCGGAAGTCCAGCTACATCCCTGCTTGTCTTGCTGGCTTTTGCTTGCTATACAGACAGGCGTGGAAGAGGAAAAAGGATTTTGGCTTCATATAGATTTCCCTTGGCTCATGAGGCTACAGTTTTAAGAATTTAACATTCTGTTCATGGTCCACATTCAGCTCTCATTCTTCTTAGTATGCATCCTGTAAAAAGTCTGCACTACAGGTGTGCCCCACTAGAAGAAAACAATGCGTGTGTGGTGTATCCCAAATAATCCATTAAGGAGCCTTATGTTTACAGAAATGAAGAACTGCCATATGATTTTTAAACAGCAAATCCCTCAGTGCACTTAAAATTCACATTTAAACAATCAAAACACAGGCAGCTTTTAGGAAAACATCTATCCCGTAAAACGAGATACGTCTATACTCACATCCCACTTGTTTCTGGTTAACCTCTCTCTTACTCGAGAAACAGGGCTTGGTTCTTGATCATCAAAGAGCAACATGGAGTATTTACAGGTCCTGGAAAGAGCCAGGATCGTGGTAAAATGTTTTTAAAATGAAGTTTCATGGGACTGCATCAGGGACCTGAGCAAAGAGAAGAGGGAAGAGGCACGGGCAACCAAGGGCGCAGACTGAGGACGTGGGAATGACAGGTTCAGAGACGGCAGAAGGGGAAGGCACCCACGGGTAAATATTCGAATGAGGAACAATGAAAGGAGACTAATACCTGTAGATGTCACCTCCTCTGGATGGTCCCATGTGGAAGCAAGGAAAGGGACTAAAGAGCTTCTGCTTCCTTCCTGTTCTCGTGATTCGGTTCTGCAACATCAAAGCCCCTTGCTCACCGTTTATCCCACCCCTGCCACCACTGTTATTCCCACACACACTCACCAGCACGGGTGTGGTCTGTCTTCTGTTTGTTAGAGCTGGAGGTTTTTGGAGAAGTGTCTCTGGCAAGCTGTGCCCTCACCATGGAGTACCATCTCATACCTACTGTGCATCACATCCCTGTGCAAACCCCATCTGTTCTTTAAGCCTGGCTCACACACTGCTTTTCCCACGAGCCTCCCTTGAGTCAGACCTCAAAGCTGGAATTCCTCTCTCCCTCTTCTCAATTCACACTACAAAGTTATCTTTTCCCTCTGGAGAGAACTCCACAGGGCAGATGAGGTCTCATCAGGCCTCAAGTATGCAGCATATTAGGTATTATGAAATACACAGCATTCAAGGTACAAATAGGCCCTAGCCTCAGCCTTGCAAATAAGAGCGTCATCAGCTTTTGGCACCATTTCAAATAGCAAGGGACGCTTAAAGGCAGAGCATATCGTTGCAATGATGTGAATGTGAAATGCGGTCATGTCCATTTTGTTCAGCAGACAACATACTCATCTGTAAAACATACTCATCTGTTTTACTTACCTTTACCAGCCTCACCTTTAACATTTACCTTTCAGTACATAGTGACATTTATCTCTAAGTATGGTAAGAGGATGCACTTTAGTATCAAGGAGTTGAAGGAGGGTAATTAAGCATGCAGTCTTACCACTTACTTCCTGTTCATCACACCTGTGGCTGCTATGATGCTCACCAACATTTGCATGTGACTGAATCATGACAGCGATAGAGAATTGTACAGTCACCTGTTTATTTTTGTCGCCTCTTCTCAACTCAGGTCGCATGAACCCTGAGGATCTGGGGCGAAAAGATCTAGGGAAAAAAATTCCAAGGTAGCAGAACACTGGGCTTTTAAAGCATTTAATAAATCTTAATCAAAGAAAAATGATTTTATTTTAAAAGAATAAATTTACATACGGTACATAAGCAAGACAGCTGAAAGTTTCCAAAATAGAAACCCGGAGCCTATGGCCCCGAAACACCACATGCTTTGGTTACACTCGGGAAGCATAAGTCGCCTATTTGGGCAAGAAAATCCTGTGCTACACTGTGCTCTGCAGGCACGTGGAGGGGCGATTTCAGCTGTTTAGGGTTTTTAATTCATGGTCTCGTCTGCGTTTTCTTTTGCATATTCTGTTAGGGTGCAAGTCCGAGCAAAGCTGGCCTGAGATGATGGCTGTTTAAAATGACAGTCACAGGATGAAGTCCTGGTCCAGAGAGGTGGTGGGCTGGGGGCAGGAATGAGGACCGCCAGGAACAGGGCGTGTGTTCTTCCTGGAGGGGCCAACGACCCCGAGGGCTCTGCTGCCACCATTTCCAAGTTCAGGACTGGCCAGACCGCCGGTCCTAAGCTTAAATTGGATACATCACGGTGAGCTGGATTCTGAAACTTCATCTCCAGGACTCCCGCTCAAGAGAGAGGCTCTGGACCAAGCCTGACGCAAGCCAGCAGGGGGCAGTCTTTCCCCAGAGAGAAAAATCCAAAGGTCAGAGACAGAAGGCAGTCTTTGAAGGGGCAAGTGTGTGTGTGTGTGTGTGACTGAGAGGGTGTGAGGGTCTAACAGAGTGAAGCGCTGTGTGAAGTGAATGAAGAGGGCTGGCCAAGCTGCAGTTTGAATCAGGCAAGGACTTTTCCAACCAGTTTCTAAGCCACAGAGCTGTAGTGCTCAAAAACTAAGTTTGGCCTCACCAATATGCACATTTTATTCTTCAGATGCTATATCAAGAGACTTTGAAAAGCGACCATGACAAATCCATGGGTCTTTCTTTAACGAGCTGTGGCTAACATATTCATCCTCAATCCAAATTGTGTAAATACAGCCTTAAATATATAATACAGCTGATCGCAATCCTATTGTTGAGACTTAAAACGAAAGGACATCAGTAAAATTTACACACACACAAATGAATCACCCACACCCACTGCTGTGACAGTAATTATGGCCCTTCTCAAAAGATACAAGTGGAAAAGGCTGGTCCTTTTTGCTAGTTGGCTTCAGAGAAATCAACTAAAATCATTTCGCGTAAATATTAGCTAGCACTGTGACCTCGGGTTTGGCAGACTGTGGGGACGGAGGTACAGGGAAGTGCCCCATGTAGTGCATTGTGGGGCGGCCTAGGGCAGGGGTGCCCGTGAGCTGGGGCATCTCCCCATCACGGTGCCACAAATACTGGTCAGAGTATGATCTAAAAACAGGCAAACGGCAGGTCATTTTGACCCCTGCCTTCTAACATTGAAAAATGTCAGAAGAATTTGAAGGAAAAACGGGATGTCTTACAATTATTCTTTTCAATAAACTGGAGCATTAAGTCAAATACTAAAGATCATCACAACCAAAAGGCCAGGGTGCGTATTCAAAATCAGGAGAAACGGGTGTTCAGTTTTCACGCTGGATGCAGAGGTAAGGGCCTAACTCTCCAGGCAGGCTAATTTTCCCCCAAAGTGTGTGCATGGTGAGGATGCATGAGGGTTATAAATCGTTGGCTTCAGCAGCTCAGGCACTACACACGTTGTTAATTACATGTTGATACTCACTTTTAAGAACATTGTTGATACCTGTTCCTCCTCATTCTTAAGAACTGAAGAGGAACCCCTGCAGGGGGTTGTCTGCATAATGACCACCTTCCTAAGTCTAAGGACTCTCCCGAGATTTAAAGGGTGTTGTATTTTGTTGGCTTGTTTTCCTAAGAGAGGCTGATGGTGTTCTCGCATTAATTACCCTTAAAATTGCCAAGAGGTGGGAAGATGGAAAGGGAGCCACTGTTTCTATTCAGATGAGCAAACAGATTTAGGAAAGGTAACTAAGTGGAGGAACGGTGTCAGGGAGGGAGGCCTATTCCCTCTGTCAGGCCCCAGGAAGGATTATGTTCATCCGTTCTTCTACTGATCCACTTTCACGGACAGATGACACTGTCTTCCCAGTCTGTAAGGAAGCAAAAAAGCTGAAGCAGAGCAGAGGGCTTGTCCCAAGTCACTCTGATGCAGGAGAGAGCAGGACACTCAGAGGAACCCAGATGAGGTGAGAAGGGAGCAGCCAGTTGGGTTCATGGGTCAGAAGAGGATAGAAATGGTGCCTGGAATCTTGCAAAGTGTACGAACGAGGAGAGGATCCCTGTTCAGTATGCACCCGACAGAGACCAGGATGCATAAGGAAAGCAGGCTCATGCCCGTGACCTCGCCAGCTCTGCCCCCACCTTTCGTGCTTCCCAGCGACGTTCACAGTGCTCTTTCCCCCCAAGCAGGCACTGTCTAATGTGATCATCGTGACCAGAAAGTCGCCCTGTCCAAGGAATGCAGTTTCACGTGGCGCCACCCTTTCTCTTGGACCAACATTCCAGTTTTGGAAATGAGACTCAGTGCTGGGCAAGGTCACAACTGAAAAGGAACGCCCGACGCCCAGCCTCCTGGATCATGCCCGTCTCTTTAGGCTCTCCAGAACCCAGGGGGGCCTGTGGCCGTTCCTAAGCCAGGCCACAACTCCTGCCAGCCCAGGACTGGTCCAAAGTCCAAGTAATGGACGGGGTGGGGCGCCTTAAAGAACTCAGCTGTGGGTTTGCCTGGCTTCATCTGCAACATGACGCTTACAGGCTAGTGGTCACCGTGAGACCATTTTTCCTTCCATAAAGCAGCAACATATATCTCAGGTATCAGCAAAACAGACATGTGACTTAGGGAATTGTTTTTTTTTAAAGAAAAATGTGTTGTCAAAACTTCCCCACTCAACAACTTTTTGATGTCTTGCTCTCATGTCTAGTGAGCTAATTTCCGACCACTTCAGCCTCACAGTAATCCCAGAAACCTGTGTAGCATTGGCACGAAGGTGGTAGCACAGATGCCAACTGACATGTAGGTGACAAACTTGTAAGGCACTTCGATCTCCAGCCTCTGCCTGGCCTCCTTGTTTCTGGTGACCACCTTGAACCAGGAGTACAACACTTGCAGCGAGAGATTTTGTACAAGTTGACGAACCAGGAGAATCAGCACAATTCCCACGGTAAATTTGGTCAGACCCAAAACTAACAGGTTGCTGGTGAGCGGTGGGATGTTCTGAATAACAGGGAGGGATTCCGTGGGCTTGGACACGAGCTGGAAAAAATGGTTGATCCAGAATCCTACGGTCACCCCAGCCCCGGCAGCCATGATGGTGGTGGTGTCCGCTCTGGTCGGGCTGTAGTAATCAGACACGGGGTAATTGTAACACAGGAAGAATGGCACCACCAGGACACACACAGGGAAGAGGGGGCTGGCCGAGTCCAGGCGATCGATAAGGGTCCAGGCGGGGTAGGTGAGGACGATGAGGATGGCGGTGATCAGGATGCCACCCAGCACATCCTGCGGGAGAGAAATGGATGACGTACGTCAGATGAGTGCTCCCCTGTATACAGGTATAATTTTGATTCAAATATAATTGATCTGACATTTAAAATACAATTTTTGTACTGTTTTATAATACTTTTTTTTTTTTTTTTTTTTTTTTTTTTTTGATTGGAGTATAACTGCTTTACAATGGTGTGTTAGTTTCTGCTGTATAACAAAGTG